ACCATTACTCTATAAAGCATCACTCCTCTACCTCGCCTCTCCCGAAACCCCCCCCCCCTCCTGTGCAATGCCTTGCTTCCACCTCAAAACCATTCATCATCCACCAATCCACACCCTTATCTCACCCCCCCTTATCTTTTCAATACCCTCCATCAAACCTCCTTCATCCCCCCCCCACAACTCCATCCCCATATAATAATCATAAACATCTCTACAACCCCACCGTCTCATCCTCCACCCTCAAAACCTAAGTTCCATCTCTTTATTCCCCCCCCTCATTCTTCTAACTTCCATCTTAATATCAACCCCTCCTCCTCTACCACACCCCACACAACAACACTTCTAACACCAACAAACAATCACCCCCCCTCATCCCCAACAATTACAACCACACCTTCCATAACACCCCAAACACAAACACCATTTCTATCCCCACAAATTCATTCACACCTATTCATCCATAACTACCCTCTCTTTACCCTACCACACCCCCCCAACTTACCAACCCCCATTCCCCCCATTCCCAACCCAACACCCCCCATCCCCCATAACCCTATCTTTACTCATTTCCCCCCCCATCCCCAACCACCACCCCACCTCCTCCTTATCTTTCCCCCCCAAATCTAACCAACCCTTCCCCCCAACCACCACCACCCTCTTATTCCACTCCTACCCATAATTCCCACTTCCCATCCAACCCAAACTCCCCTTCTACCAACTCCCTCCTCCCACCATCATCCTTACATCCACCACCTCCTCAAACCCTAATACAAATTCCCTAAACCCTCCCCCACCTATCCTAAAACCTTTCTACTATTTACAATCCTCCGCCTAATATACCACCCCATCCCCACCGTTTACCTAAATTCCCACCCCCTATTTTATAATCTATATCACCTCCCCCATCCACCTACCCCCCTACCCATTACCCCAAACTCCACACCCACACACCAAAAACACACAAACCATCCCTACCCCCCCCTCAAACTCTACAACCACATCCATACCCCCCCAACCATACCACATACATATACAAACCACCCCACTTCCCATCCCCTAAAAACCTTCCCTCCATTCCACCCCAACCCCCACACATCTATCAACTCACATAATCTTCACCTATTCCACCCAAAATGCCACCATCCCCAATCTATCTCATTACCCCCCCCATACTATCCCCACCTATCAATACAAAAATAACCCAACACCTAATAACCATCCCTAATCCATCTCTCCACACTAAATTACAAAAATTTTATTTCTACTACAATAGTTTTGGTTTTTGTTATAACACCCATCGACAATAAACAACTCCACTATTCCTATTATATCTAACCCATTAATCTACTACCCCTTTACTTTACCCAATATCCCTACCTCCCACCTTACACTCACCCCCAATCATCACCCCCACAATCAACTAACCATATCCCATCATTATTGAAAAATACCCCAAACTTTAATCAAACAAACCACCTACCTCATTACACCACTTCACTCCGACCTAAACACCCTAAAACCCCCATCACCTCCTCTCTTCCCCCCTACCTCCCCCCCACCCCTTCCCTATTCAATAAATACAAACTACCTTCACTCAACTATTATATAATACAAATTGAATCCATATCTAATATCCCCTATATCACCTCCTAATAACACCCCCCCCCCCCTTCCACACCTCACTTCTCAACCTACCACCTTCCTTTCTACAACCCTTAAACCCTATCCATACCACAACACTAACCCACCATCTTCCCCCCCCCACCAAACCCTCCAACACTAAATTCCTCCCATCTTACTCTCAAAACACATCACCTTGCCTCCTCTCCATAATACCCACCCACCCTCATATTCTCATCTTATTAAATTACACCTACCCCCCCACCCCTTATTTACATTTCTACCCACTTACTCTTACCTCCTTCCACCCATATCCTTATATCATACATTATTCTCCCTTTTATACCATGCCCAACCTCTCCTACATTATCACTATCCCTCACTATTACAATTAACTGACCCCACCCCTCATTTTATTATATATTTTACCCATTACCCAACCCCCTTCCAACTCCCACTCCTTCTTCCCCTATACAACTCATCCCTACCTTCTCCCCTTATACTCATCTTTCCATACCCCTTCATATCCACCTACTCATACGTAATATCTATCACTCTCCCATCCATGACCCCTATTAAATTCTTATTCTGCCTTCTCTTTCCACTAAATCTACTCAATATCTCCTCTTTTCTCACCTCTCATCCTCTACATATCCTTATTACAATTACACTCTCCCAAAATCCAATCCCACCTTATATATATATATTAACCACTCCAAACCACATCTACCACTCCACCCAACCAAAAATTTCATTACATTATATATCAATAGACAGTCCAAATCCCACCCAACCCCCTCTATAATAACTGTGTGTGTGTGTGTGTGTGTGTTACACCTAAACCATATCCTCAAAATAATAACATACTAACAATAATAACCCCTCATCCGCCATCCCGAAGATTCCAGAGAGAGAGATCGCACAGATCATCGCGAGTAACCAACGCCTATTATCTCCTCCTCGGACTCACCCACACACTACTGCATATCCTTCCTAGCTCCATGACTTTGGGTATGATCCATCCCGGCCATGAATCGACCCCTCAATAACGCTCGCGAGCGGACGAGCAAATGTTGAGACTTCAGCAAGCATGTACCAAATACACCTATGTGTTTGAATTTTGTCTTGTTGCTCCCCCCCCCCCCCCCCCCCACCCCCCCCCCCCCCCCCCCCCCCCCCCCCCCCCCCCCCCCCCCCCCCCTCTCGGTGTATGAATTCTTCTCTTAGCTCGCTTTCGTTGTCATCGAGGAAATTGGTAAGCATGCGCGCGTTTTCTCAGGTGATTGGGTAGTCGCTACGCGCCATTGATCTACCGACTCAAAAGATATCTCATCGCATCAGTACAATTGGACCCTGTTACTTTGCGATCTCTCGCCCGCGACGTCCTGAAAAACCATTTTATTACTTCGCTCGACGCGAACGCTGGAATTTAAGTGTTAAGTTCAAAGTGGGACACCGCGCACAGTAGGCCACGCACCTACCCTCCCGACTCCCTCGCCTCACGGAGCCCACGCGCCAGGGCGCCGAGTTGCTCTCCGGGTAACTCCTATCTCCCCCCACCGCTCACGCCAGCACAAATGGAAAAATCACTCGCAGGGTCAGCTCAGCACGCACGCACGCGAATCACCAGCGCCCCAATCCAACCGCCCCCACCCCTCTCGCCACCTCCACCGCCTACCTGCATCGGCATTCCCGCCCGCCCAACGCCGCCCCTCTCACGCGCAATTTAGAAAGAGAAGTCGAAAGTATAAGTGCGTCAAGAAAAAGATAATGTAAGGAAATTAATAATAAATAAGGACGAATAAGCTGAGCCGTGAAGGGAATGTTAAGAAGTGTGTAAAGGCCAAAGAGCGATCGAGGGTCCGGTGTTCGAACTTTCTCACGGTATGGTGCCAATACCAACGTCCCTCAGGGCAGTGTATTCCAGGAATCGCGACCACTCGGGTGGAGACAAACAGAATTCCGCCGCGCACTCCATACGGTCGAGTTTTGTGAGCTGTCATCGAGTGATCTCGGAGCGAGGAAGCCGAACTGGTTGGAAAAGACCAGATAGACAGGGTCCGATTTACCGGTAAGTATGCGATTGCGTCAACCACTAGGTCGCTTCGAGGTGAACAGAAAGTGCATGAGAACATTCCCGAGCAAGTAGACTTGATAGGGTAAGAATGGTTCCGTAGTCCATGGAACCAGGTTGGTTTCCAACTCTCAACATCTCTCCACGGACATCCTGTCCTGACTAAGCAGGTAACAAGCCTAGATACAGTATTCAATGTCGCCTGAAAAATGCTGAGAATAACCTAACAAACATAGCGCCAGTGATGGTCCCGAATGACTTGCAGATAATCCACAACTCTCTGCAACCCTTACACATAGCTTTCCTCCAGTGCACATTGGATTTAAGTTCTGAAGACAACGTGACCCCTAAGTCTACTAATTGGGAAACATGGTGTATTTCAGTACCGCCAAGCAAATGACGCGTTTGGGGACTATTTGGCCCTGTTCGTAAGATGGAACACTTTGCATAATCTTTGGGCAACTGCCACATAGCAGCTGAGTCCCAACGTTTATCGAGGGCCCATTAGCAAAGTCTGGGGTCCAGCAAAGTCAGACAGCATGTGCCAAAACTTTAGGTCATTTGCAAACATGAGAGATGGTACCTCCGGCAGTTCGGGCAGCTTGTTGACATACAAGGAAAATAACAACGGACCAAGCATAGAACCCTAAGGGACCCCACTGATGCCTGACTGACGGAAAGACAGACCAGGCCGCACACGAACACACATCTCTCTCCCCTCCAGAAATGTGGTGATCCATTTAAGCGCACGCCCGGATTTTCCATGTGACCAAATTTTCCAGTAGAGGCGAGAATGTGATACAGTGTCGAACGCGTTGGAGAAGTCAACCAACACTACATCCACTGCATGACCCCGATGCAATGCGCCGCCCAACATTCGCGTGCAACTAGCTAATTAGTCATACGGGAATGACCCTTGCGAAAGCCGTGTTGCAGTGGACTGAGCAGACCAAACTCCCGCCGGTGGTCTTCAAGCACAGCTCTGACCAACTTTCCCAATACCTTGACCAGTACGCTTGTCAAACTTACCGGTCTATAATTGGCAGTGAGATGATTGTCGCCCATTTTAAAAATCGGGCACACGATAGTATCCTTCCAGTCCTTGGAAAAGTAGCAGCTGGGAAGCTACAATTGAAACAAATGTGGCACTGAGCCACATACCTTGCTTGTGTGTTCGTACAAAAGCTCACGGTGAATGTCATACATCCCACGGATTTAACAGGATTTAGCCCCTGAAGAAGTTCGAGAACTTTTGCCTCCGAAATTGTGACCGAAGTTAAACAGGAGTCCTGGGGGCTGTCATTGCTAGGTCAAAATGCGGCAATTGCTCATCCCGAACATACTTCCGACATAAATATATAGGTATATTTCTAAACTGCTAGAGGCCGCGGAATTTTGCTAAGCCGTGCTGGATGTGCAATTTTCTTTTGGAATACTGCGTTATACGTGTTTTCTGTGTGTGAATTTTGCACCAATACAGTTCTTTTGGTGTATTGTTTTAGCTGTGCGAATTTGGTGAATATCCCCCCGCTACTTTCGGAGGTCTCACTGATCACCCAACTAAGTGCGGTGTCCGCCATCTTAGATTGGTTCTACAATGGCACGTACCTCTTACCCGCGGAAAGTGAAGCCTAAAGCCACCGAGATGAACGTTAGTTGCGGCGTTGCAAACTGTGTAAAACTTGTGCGGTTTGGTATTGAATGCAGTAGCTGTCAAAAATACTTTCATCCTCGGTTTGCTCGCCGTAGTACCAGCTAGATAAAAAACTCCATGATACGACCGATTCTCTCTGGTTCTGCATTGAGTGTTCATCTCTTCCACTCGTCCGATGCATAACTGTGCTGGCACAGAAGTGCGATAGGTTGTCAAAGATTGTAGAGCAAGCAACAGCAGTGAAAGCTGTCCCATATGAGCCTGATAACTCTGTACATAAAAATCCATGCTCAACATCATGCTTTAATCCAGAACGGTGTAAGAACAATGTTCCAGTGTTAGTCGCCACGACAGTAGCGGCTGCTCATAAAGACGCGCCTCGACTCACAGCTCCTCACAAGTTGTGCGCGCGCTCTCCCTCCTCTCTTTTCCCCCGCACCACCTCACTGTTGTCTATTGGTGTTGAGAGAGCTACCACAGACACTGGTGAAGTGCGAGGTGAACGCGTCTTTATGAGCAGCCGCTACTGTCGCGGCGACTAACACTGGAACATTGTTCTTACACCGTTCTGGATTGGAGCATGATGTTGAGCATGGATCTTTATGTACAGAGTTATCTGGCTCATATGGGACGGCTTTCACTGCTGTTGCTTGCTCTACAATCTTTGACAACCTATCGCACTTCTGTGCCAGCACAGTTATGCATCTGACGAGTGGAAGAGATGAACACTCAATGCAGAACCAGAGAGAATGGGTCGTATCATGGAGGTTTTTAGCTGGCTGGTACTACGGCGAGCACGCCGAGGATGAAAGTATTTTCGACAGCTACTGCATTCAATACCAAACCGCACAAGTTTTACACAGTTTCTAACGCCGCAACTAACGTTCATCTCGGTGGCTTTAGGCTTCGCTTTCTGCGGGTAAGAGGTACGTTCCATTGTAGAACCAATCTAAGATGGCGGACACCGCCTGTAGTTGGGTGATCAGTGAGATCTCCGAAAGTAGCGAGGGGATATTCACCAAATTCGCACAGATAAAACAATACACTAAAAGAACTGTATTGGTATAAAATTCACACACAGATAACACGTATAACACAGTATTCCAAAAGAAAATTGCACATCCAGCACGGCTTAGCAAAATTCCGCGGCCTTTAGCAGTCTAGAAATATACCTATGTATTTTTGTCGGAATTTTGTTTGGGATGAGCAATTGCCGCATTTTGACCTAGCAATGACTGCCCCCAGGACTCCTGTTTAACTTCGGTCACAATTTCGGAGGGAAAAGTTCTCCACCTTCTTCAAGGGCTAAATCTTGCTAAATCCGTGGGATGAATGACATTCACCGTACGCTTTTGTACGAACTCACAAGCAAGGTATGTGGCCCAGCGCCACGTTTGTTTCAATTGTAGCTTCGCAGCTGCTACTTTTTCAAGGACTGGAAGGATACTATCGTGTGCCCGATTTTTAAAAAGGGCGACAATCATCTCTCTGCCAATTATAGACCGGTAAGTTTGACAAGCGTGCTGGTCAAGGTATTGGGAAAGTTGGTCAGAGCTGTGCTTGAAGACCACCGGCGGGAGTTTGGTCTGCTCTGTCCACTGCAACACGGCTTTCGCAAGGGTCTTTCCCGTATGACTAATTTGCTAGTTGAACGCGAATGCAGTGGATGTAGTGTTGGTTGACTTTTCCAACGCGTTCGACACTGTATCACGTTCTCGCCTCTACTGGAAAATTCGGTCACATGGAAAATCCGGGCGTGCGCTTAAATGGATCACCACATTTCTGGAGGGGAGAGAGATGTGTGTTCGTGTGCGGCCTAGTCTATCTTTCCGTCAGTCAGGCATCAGTGGGGTCCCTTAAGGTTCTATGCTTGGTCCGTTGTTATTTTCCTTATATGTCAACAAGCTGCCCGAACTGCCGGAGGTACCATCTCTCATGTTTGCAGATGACCTAAAGTTTTGGCACATGCTGTCTGACTTTGCTGGACCCCAGGCTTTGTTAATGGGCCCTCGATAAACTTTGGGACTCAGCTGCTATGCGGCAGTTGCCCAAAGATTATGCGAAGTGTTCCATCTTACGAACAGGGCCAAATAGTCCAAAAACGCGTCATTTGCTTGGCGGTAATGAAATACACCATGTTTCCTAATTAGTAGACTTAGGGGTCACGTAGTCTTCAGAACTTAAATCCAGTGTGCACTGGAGGAAAGCTATGTGTAAGGGTTGCAGAGGGTTGTGGATTATCTGCAAGTCATTCGGGACCATCACTGGCGCTATGTTTGTTAGGTTATTCTCAGCATTTGTCAGGCGACAATTGGAATACTGTATCTAGGCTTGTTTACCTTGCTTAGTCAGGGACAGGATGTCAGTGGAGAGAGTGTTGAGAGTTGGAAACCAACCGGTCCATGGACTACGGAACCATTCTTACCCAGCAAGGCTACTTGCTCGGGGAATGTTCTCGATGCACTATCGTCAACCTCGAAGCGACCTAGTGTTGACCAATCGCATACTTACCGGTAAAATCGGACCCGATCTATC